ATATATCAAATACACGAAATGGGAAAGGATTTGTACCTCCAGAAGCGAGTCTTAGTCTGAACAACACAGATCCAAGCTCCACAATCGATCTAGCTTGGACTTTCCCACTCCTTCTTGCAAGATTACACCAAAAGGATGAAGAATTAGCCTTTCCCTTGCTCTCTAAGCTCTCTTCTCTCTCTAGGGTTTCTCAGGGGAGTAAGTGGCCGCAAATGAAGGCCATAAGGACCTTTAAATAGGGCACAGGCCCAAAGATTTAGGGTTTTTGTCACCAGCACAGGCTCGTCGAGTCACCTAGCCGACCCGTCGAGTCCATTCATTAATCCAGTCAGCGAATCGCGACCCTACTCGACGAGTCTAGGCGTCAACTCGTCGAGTCCCTCCCTTTAACTCAAAATAAATGATTAAAATAAAATACCTGGGAATCCGGATGTTTTTTTATCTTTATTTTAATAGAATTAATATAGATTATTTATAAAATTATTTTTATTTTTTAAATCAATTATCTAAAGTATAAAAAATCGTATTATTATTATTATTATTATTATTATTATTATTATTATTATTATTATTTGCTTTATTTATTTATCTTTGTTTTTTTTGGTTTAAAAATCTGTTAATATTTTTGATGTTTTGATTATTTATTTATTTTATTTTTTTGACGTTTTGTTCGTTTAATTTATATAATGATTTGTTGACCTTTTTTCGAATAAAAAAATAAAAACAGTAACCCGAACATGAACAAAAATTATTGTTCGTCTAGTTAAACGAACGAACATGAACAATGGTCTCGTTCGTTCACCGAACAATGGTCTCGTTCGTTAATTTATGTTCGTGAACGTTTGTTTATGATGTTTATTTACGTTCATTTATGTTCGTTCGTTTAATTTATATATATTCATTTATGTTCATATTTTTTTATTATATTACCATATTATATGTTCGTTTATGTTCATATATATATATATATATATATATATATATATATATATATATATATATATATATATATATTCAATTGTGTTTGTTTATTTTTGTTCGTTTATGTTCGTTTAGTAAATTCACGAACATGAACAAAATAATTTGTTAAACGACAAACACAAAAAAGAAAATCTCGTTCGTTCATCCGTTCGTGTTCATGTATTTGTTCGGCTAATTTAAACGAACGAACACGAAGATATACAAACACCGCTTGTTGGTTTGTTAGTTTATTTATTAAATGAACATGACGAAAATCATTCGTTTGTATGTCAGTGTTTCTTCATTTATTGCCTATTTAATTATATTTTTTCGTATAACTATTTCTGAAAAAAAAAAACAAAGTAAACCTATATATATATATATATATATAGATATATATATATATATATATATATATATATATATATATATATATATATATATATATATATATATATCGTTAAAAGAAAGAGAAAAAACAAATATTAGATAATTTTATTGGAAGACTGATAGTTATTCAGGTTATTGTTTTAATTTGTTTATTCGAAAAAATGTCAAAAAAAATCATTATATAATTTAAACGAACAACACGTCAATAAAACAATGTCAAAAAATATATTTAAATAAGACGTCAAAAATATTAAAAGATTTTTAAATCATAAAAACAAAGATGAATAAATAAAGCAAAAAATAAATAAATAAATAAATAAATAAATATAATAATAATAATAATAATAATAATAATAATAATAATATGATTTTATATAATTTAGATAGTTGATTTAAAAAAATAAAAACAATTTTATAAATAATCTATATTTTTCTATTAAAATAAAGATAAAAAACAATTATATATATATATATATATATATATATATCTATATATATATATATATATATATATATATATATATATATAGATAGAGTCAAGATCAAATAAGAAGGAAATTTTTGGTAGGAAGGTAAGAAGTTTTTTTTCTACATATTTTTTTCGCGAACAAACAAAATGAATCATTAGATGATTCAATTGTAAGATGATTCACAAGTAAAAAATTCTTAAAAAAACATATTGATGATTCATTTATACAATGATTTTGTTGTTATTCACTAAAATTGTCATAAAAGTGAATTTTTTCTTAATTTACTTAAAAATGAATCATAAAGATGTTTTTTTGGGAATTTTTTCTTGTGAATCATGTTACAAATGAATCATCTAGTGATTCATTTATTTTGTTCGTCAAAAAAATATGTAGAAAAAAAACTTCTTACCTTCCTACCAAAAGAAATTTCTTACCGGATCTATATCCTATATATATATATATATATATATATATATATATATATATATATATATATATATATATATATATAAATTGTTAGAGGAAAAAAAAGTAATTTGGTCATTTTATATGGACCAATGACCTACAGTATAATTTTCACAATCACATGATTTAACCTATCAAATTTTAAATTTAAGATCAAAACTGAAAATTTAACCAAATCACAGCCACCATTTCTGTAATTTACTCTAAATAATGTCTTTTTTCTTTTAACTATTTTGAGCATAAAAATAAAAAAATTCAAGTCACATGTGTTATTTGGTTAAACCCAATTAGGCTTCCATTTGTAGTTTTTTTTTTTTTTTTTTCGTGTCATCTTGTTAACTTATAAAATTCTAATGGTTCCAAAAAAAATCCAAAATAAAGATATCCTTTCGATGTAAAATAACTATCAAAAAATAAATAACGTCGTTATCAAAAAATTTAGTTCAATGATATTCCGACATCGTGAAACTTCTATCCATTTTGTTTTTTGGCAAATAATAATGTATTCACACTCTTATTTCCGGATAAACTCCAATTCAATAATATACGACAAAATAAATAATAAACAATAATACCAAATTGTAAATAACAACTGTTAAATGAAATCGGTGATCCCTAACAATTAATAATTTAATATTAACTTAAATTTTTAAACCTAAACATCCTTCTAATATATAAAAGATATTTAAAAAAACATTTTGGGTTTTTTTCTACAAACATCAGTTGAAAAAACATGAAACGTAACTGAACCAAAAAATCAAAGATTTTAGAATTTAGATGTTTGGTTAATCAACTTCGAAAAAATATAAAACCGATTTTTTAACCTAAAAATCATTACGAAGTACCAGTTTTTAGGTTTGATTTTGGAAATTTCAAACTTCCCTATTTGAAACAACCTTATGTATATAAGGCGAAGTTAGGTTCAGTTTCATGTAAATTCCCATGTAGGAACACGTTCTTAACTTGCAACTTATGGAGATCCCAGTTCTTAGAAATAACACAATGCTAAGAAAGAGACTAATGGTAGCCGGTTTAACAAACAGTGAAAATCTACATTTACCGTATCACATTAACATAGATAGTTATTTTAACAACCTCCCAAGTACCATTTTTATTCAGTCACATTATACTCATCAAACATTCCTCTGGTCCAAGTGGGGGTCATGAAGAGCATCAAGATGAGACTTGGGAAGAAGTGATATATTTTTGGGTTATACTTTCGGATACCAGACTAAGTATGAGTAGTTAGTAGACGAAGGCATTAGAGTTATGTGCCAACTTAGGTGTTGATTTTAGAGATTATGGGATTATATAGGGCCGATTTTAGGGTTATCTGAAAGTTTACGGGAGGGTGGACGAAAAAAAAAGGTACTTAGGGCTTCCATAACGTCCGGAAATATATGAAATAGCGAGGGGTGAGTTTTAATAAGAAAAGTAGTAGCAAGTGTGGCAGTAGTGGGGTATATGTGAAAAAAGCTTGTGAAAATAGTTGGTTATTTGTATGTTTTTTTGTTGGTTAAACTATTATTCTTCGAAATAAATTAATGTCTTTTGTACGGTTTTCGGTGAATACAAAAACTTCGGGTTTTGTTTAAGTGGTTTCTATAAGAAATATATCTTTTGTGTATGAAATATTTATAATCATCTTGAGTTATTTACAAGTTTGCTAGAATAAAAGCATTTTAGGCACATAAAAAAAGTTTTGGCTTAAAATTACCATGTGTTACGACATTGAGAATAAAATTTTTTTTTGATTTTTATCCCTTTTCAAGCTTCAACGATAAACATAGAATAAAAAATTAGAGCATGATTTCTTCAATAACAATTAATTATTTGGTTATTTATACTTTTTAACTTATTAAAACTGATTATTGTAATAATGTTAAATATAATATTTTAAAAATGTATGAAGGTTATAGATAATATTTTAAACTTAAATTTATACCAGATTTAAAATAGTCAATTGATAATTTGATAATAAATAAATGACTATTTTATATCTCTTATAAATTTAAGTTTAAAATATTATCTATACCATTCATAATTTTTTTAAAAAAGATACTAAATAAATATTAAAAAATGTTAAACATAATAATTTAAACAAATATAATGTTTTGAAAAAAAAGATAATAAATAAATATTAAAAAATGTTAAAAATAAAGATTTAAACAAATATATTGTTTTGAAAGTTTATAAATAAATATAATATTTAAAGATTATGAGTAACACATGATATTTTTGATTTTTAAAAAACTCATACAAATTCTTTTATTTAAGTGATTCGAGGCCCAATATCTTCTATTGCTCACCCTAGGCCTAGAAAAAATAAATGTGGATTTAAGTGATTTGAGGCCCAATATCTTCTATTGTTCACCCTAGGCCTAGAAAAAAATATATGTGACGCTTTGAGAGATTCTTTAAGTATAGCCATTTTTCAGTTTTTAGTTTTTTACCCCATCTGGTATAGGAGAGAAGGTTTAGCCACCCATTTATTCTACTCAATTCTAGAGATCATTATATGAGCAAAGAATGGGTTCATCCTTATATTTACTATGTCATTCAAATGGTATCCTACTAAAACATGACACTTTCTTTTCCTCTATTTCCAGTTGAACACACAAGGGATCCCAACACACAATCATTGAATCATAAGTTCTCCGAGATTGAGCACGTTCTGATTAATCAACAAGCAAAATAGGAATATTTTGCAATAATTCAAACATTAAATCCAAAAAACTCAGTAGAGTAATACTTGAATCTACATTGTCTAGTGAAAAGAAAACAATACACGAAAGGAAAACTAATAATCATCCGAATCCTCATTGATGGTGAATGCATTGCCGTTGTCATCATCGTCATCGTCATCACTGAACGATTTGTTATCAGTATCAGTATCAGCACCAGCACCAGCATCAGCACCAAAATTACCATCAGCATTAATAACAAGATTCCTAAGAGCATCAAGATCTATCTTACCATCACCTTTAATAGCACGTTTAAAGGGTTTAAGAAGCTTCTCATATCTCCGAGGGTTATCGTACAATGTAGGTGTTGTGAGTATTTCTTTTTCCAACCAATATGGATCATATGCAATTCTTGTATTAAATGATTGATACAATAGTCCAATATTATACATTATGAACCTTAATCGAGGACCTTTTTTTCCAGATACAAACTTCATTACACTTCTTAAAAAGAGCGTAACTTGGTCATTTGCCACCATGTATAAGTACTGAAAATAGCCACATAAAGCTTTTTACGATTATACCCTTTGTGTTGGATAAAAAAAAATAAAAGAAAGAAAGAAATGAGAGTGATTACCATAACTATTAGACCAATGAGTGCCAAGGTGGCTTGCAGTATATCATCCAACATCTCACCAAAGCCTTCATCCTCTGTTCCACCAAAACCATCGCCGCCACCTCCACCACCTCCACCACCACCACCACCATCACCGCCACCATCATAGTAATCTTTCTTCTCGATTTGTTGGCGGAGTACATCCTCTAGTGATTGTTCCTTTTTAAAACTACTCATAGCTTTCTCCATTGACTTCCATGGGGAACCCTGGCAAGAAAACAAAAACTTAATTTGTTCAATTTCGGATTGAATGAGTAAATGACCATTTTACCCTAGAAATGATGAATAAAAAATTGACTATGTAACTGTTATGAACTAAGGAATGAAAGCCATACCTCATCACCATTTTTGGATTCTCCTCCTTTCCCACCAAATAAACACACAGGTGTGCATGGTTGATAGCGAGATGCAGCAGTTCTTTGCATCACATGACATTTCATTAATTTTGTGCATTTCTTTGATGAATCAAATCCAATGGTTGGTTTTAGGGCATTATGAAGATTAGATAATTTCACTGGTGCAATGCACTGTATAGCTGATCCACGGATTGTGTTATATTCACGTGAAGAAGGACGCACTGCAGTAACTTGAAGATAACTCATCTCATCAACTTGTTTATTTATAGTAGCCAAAACATTGAGATTATAATAAAAAGGAATTCTTGTAATTTCTTTGTTCAAAAAAACCTGCAAAGAGTGAATCACGATGTCAACTTCAACATCGACGTCAAACAAACTACACCATCTTTTGGGGAAATCATCAATTCATCATATATCATTCAAATTTTTAGGAAATAAAACAAAAGCTGTATGCTAACAGGACCTCGAAGTAGCTCTAAACCCTAAACCTACAAATAATCGCGTTCTAAAGTTAAACAGAATTCACCTAATTAAACAGATTGTTAACCTAAACTTTCATTGACGAACTCTGTAAGTTTAAAATTTCATCCCAAAATCGAAAAGAAAATATCAGCAAAGCAAAATAAGACAGCGAATTTAACATATTACATATTCAAATATGATGCAAGTAACGAAATTAATGTAATACAAACATTGCAAAATTTAGTTATAAACAAAGTAATTTAGAAAGGATAATGGAAATTGGGGAAAAAAATATACATACAGTAGAGAAAGATTAAGGCTTTGACTCGATGCAGAGGGTAGATGACTGAGGAGCTGCCGTGAAACTTCAAATTTTGAGGCATGCGGCGGAGTCCGGTGGCAAGAGTGGACAGAGCGAGAAACAAGATAGAGTGATAGAAAAACTCAAAGGAGCGAATTTCATAAAATTTCCCCCGACTCCTGCCTAGCCTACATTTTTAGTCTCCTAACAATTATAGATTATTACTTGACAAAACTGCACAAATGGTCCCTGTGGTTAGCTTAAAATTGACACTTTGGTCCAAAAAGTTTGGACTAGCACCAGAGGTCCAAACTTTTCATTTTGTTGCGAGTTTTGTCCAATTTGCTTTGAAGTTTTTTATAATGACGATTTTACGCTTACTTTTTTCTTTTTCAGTTTTATTTATTTAATTAAATGCTTTTATGATTAAAAGAAAAAGAAAAAAGAAAATTTATCCTTTCCATTTTATTTTTATAATTGTTTTAAAAGAAATAAAAAAAATACCCACCCCATCCGACCCCCCATCACTCTCACATTCACAAACACTCAAGAACATTTTCACACACATTTAAGAACGAACACTTGTTGCTAGCATTATCTACCACCACTACTGTCGGCCACCTGTATCTACCACCACTACAACTGCCAACCACCACAATCGGACATGACACCATCGTGAGAAACCCACCACTGACCACTAGTCTCTAGAACACCTCTCGAACTGTCATCATCGGAGTCACCACAGACGGAGATTTGCAACATCGTCGACTAAGTCTTGCTCCTTCTCCAACGATGCTGATGACCTCGTGTTGCTCCTTCTCCGACAACCATTGGAACAATAGAGCAGTCACCAGACCACCATTGGAATGCCACCGGAAACCATCTCAGATCTATAAAGAAGAAGACGAAAAAGTGGTGGCCGTTTGCAGATCGTCTCTGGCAGCAGCGTAGCTTGCCACCCTAGCTTCGACTTTCTCCTTTTTCAGATCTATGACGCCCCCTTTCTCAGTCTACGTCGCCAAGGTTTGCAGATTGAGTCGTCGCCACTATCCATCTTCTTCAGTAGCGTCATCATCCCCTAACATCATCGTCACCTGGAGATAGATTGACAGATCTGCAAAGGTCTTCAACATTTGGTATGGTTTTCTGACGGCGGTGATATTCCAGGAAGAGAACGGTGAAAAGGGTTTCAATATCTGTGTCGGAGATCAAAACTTTTTCGACGACGATGGCGTTCCAGGAAGTGATGGGGTAGTGGGCAGTGGTTCAGATCTATGTCGTAAGACGATGGTTCGTCAAGTGGTGGTGATTCGACGGCGGTGGTCGGCAGGAGGTGCTGGTCTGGCAGTAATGAAGAGAGAGAGAGAGAGAGAGAGAGAGAGAGAGAGAGAGTTTCTAGAGGTATGTAGGTGGGGGTAGCATGGGATTGTATATTTTTTTGATATAATTTTAAATCACAAATACAATAAAATTATAAAAGAAATAGAAAAAGAAATTAATAAGGGCAAATTTGTCATTTGAAATAAGTTCAAAGCAAATTGGACCAAACTCGCAATAAAATGAAAAATTTGGACCTCTGGTGTTAGTCTAAACCTTTTTGGACCAAAGTGACAATTTTTGAGCTAAACCACAGGGACCATTTGTGCAGTTTTGTCTTATTACTTTTTTTTTCTTTGTTTACATTTTGAGAAACTATAGGTTTGAAGGTATTATTATCTTTTTAATATAATAAACTATAAGTTGTTTTAAAAAGTCATGTAAATGTGACTTATGAAATATAACTTTTTATGGATGATAAAAACTATTTTCAAAAGTGCTTATTAGCTTCACAACCAGCGGCGTAGCCAAGATTTTATTTTAGGGTAGACCAAATAATATAGAAAATATGAACGAGGGACAAAATTCTTCAAATGATAACCAAATGTAACTATATATGCATTCTTAACTAAATTGTTTATTTAAGTTGCACACGATGTTGTCTTACATCATTGAAATAATCTAATATGGAGTCTAATCGACATAGACAACAATATATTTTCTTCTACTAATTTCAAGTTTTGAATGGAATATGCCATATCACAACTCTAATTCCTATTATTTAACATATATATATATATATATTATATATATATATATATATATATATATATATATATATATATATATATATATATAACTTTAATTTTGTGTGGGTGGGCCAAGGCCCACTCTTGCCCTATATTGGTTAGGCCTATTCCCAACACTTTTTAAAATTATTGAAACCATCTTAAAAATCTTATGGACAAAATCTTTAAATCAAGCATCAAATGAACTCGCTCTAAACAGATATGGTTCCTTCGTCTTTGTTTTTTGTTCGCACACAACCCACCCCAAGGATTAGCGGTCCATTTACGTAAACATAATCAAGTTATAAACTTCTCAAACCCTAAAATAGGGGGAAAAAATCTCCTGATAACAACAAAAAAGGCCGACAAAACCATTAACCCACAGTAGTAGAAGTTTAAAGCATGTAGTGAAGAAATCTTGTACAATATAGACTATCTTGTATAAGAAAAATACAAATAAGAGGATACCTAGATCTCGTGTGGGTTTCTTCTTTGAAATAATAAATTAGTTATATATTAAAAATTTAAAATGTTTTTTCAAGAGAAAAAGGTAGATATACACACACGTAGAAGACAAGATGGACAAGTTTTGTAAGATAGGATGTTGTTTAATGGTGAAACCAGATAAAAAAAGACTGTAATATCCTTTTCAACAAGTCATTCCAAAGTTTAGTGACTTTGTTTTTGTAAAACGAGGACTCGCCTCTATAACATTTATTCATAAAAATAACCAAATAAGGATTTGCAAACAACGAAAACAAAACACACTTCGAACGGGACATGCCTCAACGAGGGAAAACAAAACCGAATACACAACCAAAAATAAAAACAAAATAAACTTAGAGATTAGAAAAAAAAAAAAAAAAAAAAAAAAAAAAACATTAAGACCCCCTCTATCCAAAACCATTCCTAGCTCCAACGACTAGAGTTGAAACAAAACAAGCCCACATACATGGGTCCTACAAGGATGATAGGAAAAAGTTTGGCCGCTCATCCTAATACATAGTCCGAACAATTGTATCGTTAACATAAGGCCCACTACCAAAAGGGAAAACACCACCTCTAGAGAGATCCAATTCAACATCTCAATTCGAAAATAATAGAAAATGGGCCCACATAAGGTCCAAAAACATATAAAATCAACAACAAGCTAGTCTCGATGACTTGTACTTGAGCCAAGAATATAGAGCGTAAACAATTGCTGGTTATTTATCTTTTTTTTGTTCCAAAAAATAAAGCCATGACTTTTGTATAAATAATGTCAAAATTTCGGTTGGAGTTTTCCCATATATATAACAACACAACCCTCTTACAAAATATGTGACATATCTCTCATCAAATCCATCTTGTTCTCCGAATCAAATCTCCGGATTTTGTACGCCTAATCCATAGTAAGCCACCAAAAGTCCAAAAATCCTTGGTACAAAAGATCTATAATACACACGCTATTATGATTAGTTTGTTGCTATGTCCACTGATTTGGGCTCCCCTTGGCCTGAGGACATTTTCTGACCCTATTGCCAAACAAGAAACAAAGATAAATAACACCTTATGGGACGTGGTCCTTACTCCTTACTAACAAACCATGTCATTTAGTTTGTTGCTATGTAGAGTTGGTAATCTCCATGCCTTCATTAAACAGATGGATCCTCTATATATACAAAATAATGTGCCGTCTATACAGAAAGTTGCCTATGATAACGATTACATTAAATATTAAAACATAGTGATAAGATAACTTGTTGGACATGGATAGATAAATGATATCGGGGTAAATTACATTGTCGGACACACTTAGATTATTGACACAAAGTTATATAACATATTATCCGATGCAATTCTTGTTAAGGAACTTTATCATTTGATATTGTGCGAAACATGTTGTAATATTATTTTATATAACTTTTCAAGCACCAAATGGCTTCTAGACTTAGGACACAAGCCAATTCAACACGATCATTCATTTCCTGATCAAACTAAAACAAGATTGAAATATAAAATTATTAAATAATCGAACTCATTTAAGCATCGAGACAATATTGACACGTATTTGGTAAGACGTATGTTTCAATGTACAAATAATAATGTTGCAAGGTGCAACTGGTAATTAAAAAATATTTGAGCAAAAAGCAACAATAATGACATGGATCCATCATAATTACATCTACACCCAATTATATAGTGTAGACCCGACACATAATCACATTGAACTTAATAGATTGTGATGCCTTATCAGAATGTCGTAAGATGCACATGCATGCTGACCTGCCATGCCTAAGGTTTCATCCATCATCCAATCATGCCATCCAGTTCTCATCTTTTGGTTCAACCTCCGGATGACCTCGCCGCCGCCACCACCACCTGGTTGTTTTCTTTGATCACAATATCTCAAAAACCATGCCACCATTATTGGCTGCTCATCTGTCCAGCAAACAACATTCTTTTCCGGCGATCTTGTTGCATCACCACCGGACGTCCATGCTTGATCTGCCAGTGTGAAACCTGCTAAACTGCTTATATATTCAACCATGCCGTTCAAAAGCACCGGTGGAGTTGCCCCATTGCCATCCCACAGCCATACACGTGCCATGCCTTGTAGCACTGCCAATACAATGGCTTCTTCATTGTTGTTCGAAGTTTCCATTATCGAGGGACTCAAACTGATTATATATTCGTAGGGTTGTCGTGAATCAACTGCCACAATACCTGGAAAATCTGTGGGGGCAAGTCTAAGAGTGACACCATCGATTTGTTTCCTCATATGTAGGAAGTCTTTATTAGGGTAGAGGAGTTTTTCTACAAATCTGCTTGTGTTGAGGACAATTCTTGTCGCTTTATCGTTTGCTTGGTAGAAGAGCGAGAAGTGTTTTCCAGGCAATGAGTACTTACCTGCATCGTTGACAATTGTTATGGAGAAGCCTTTGGACGCCTCGTGGTTTGCCCAAATAGCCATAATTCCTATGAATGTTATCAAAGTTAAACGAAAAAGGATGCCGGAAACATTGCTTATGACGTGAGAATCCACTTTTGGTGGCGGGGAGGAAAGTGCACGACCACCGTATGTGGTGGTGGAGGCGGAGGTGGTGGCAATGAGAGATTGGAGGAGGGGGTGGGCCTCCATTTGTGCTGAAAGATATATAGGAAATATTAGTTTTAGGGTTGGTACTTTTGGAGAATTATAGTGGAGCATGCATATCTGATATCTCAATTTTGTGAGTAGTGGATAGAAATTGACCAACGCAAAAAGGGTTTTAAATGTCGTGGCCTGTTCCTGCCTCAATCAGCTATTCAGCCTCGATGTATTTGATTTGGAGTTATGGATAGTGTGCTTTACGTACCCGAAAATAAAAAGACAAAACAAAAAATATATTGTATTATGAGAGTTTTAAAAAATAATTATCCTGTACATCAATAAAATTATACAAATATTTAGAATTGATTCTTATTGCTAACTTAATAACTACCTGATAATTTGTTAGACATTTCTTAATTATTAGGGTTAGAGCGAATGACACTCGGCAAGCCTCATCATGTTGCAAAGGCAAGCTTCTTGGCATGTCCCGGGAGATGAGAAATGTTTTTTTTACAAAACTTTTAAAAAAGTAATCGTTTTTACCCAAAAAAATTCAAACATAAAAGGGAAGGCCCCGAATTAGC